GCTTGCTAAGCAAATGAGCCGTAAACGAACACACTTTTTGAGCTTGAAATATAAACGAGCCAAACACGATCGGCTCATTTACACCCCTACTCGCAGTTTAAGAGGAAAAAAATTCTTATGTTTTTCTATTCAGTCATTAAAAGATACTGCATGTCTATGAATTGAATTATTAAAAATAACTTGATGATTCACATAATTTTGATTTCTCTAAATAGTTTTACATACAAGAAATGCCATTATTAGGATTTATTTATTAAAGAGTTCAAAAAGTACAAGAGCTAAAGACTGAATTTCTCTCATAAAATTTGCATTGACATGATGATAGTAAAAACTATAATTTCAAAAAGAAGTCATTAATTAGACTAATTTAGACATTCTATGATTTGATACTGGACTCGTTTTGCTTACAAAATACTCCCTGAGAACAAACCGCCACAGCATGATATGATAAATGACCATACTAATTCGATGCTCCATTCAAATGGAGCACTCAAATGTTTTATTTATTTATCACGAACAGATGAACAATATGTAAAGTTCTAACAATTAAACTTGGATATTGGTCATTTGATCTCATGACTTGAAAATCTAAATTTATATAAAATTTTCGTAAATCTATCTGTGATACTCTTAGGGCTGTAAAAGAGCCGAGCTTGAGCGAGCGCAGACTTGGCTCGTGTTCGGCTCGTTCGAAATAGCTCGTGTTCAAAATCAGCTCATGTTCGAAATCGGCTCGCGAACATTGTCTTCGTGTTCGGCTCGATTAAAATATTTGTGTTCGTGTTCGGCTCGAAATTGGCTCGTTAAATTTAAATTAAGAAAAATAAATGTAAAGTGTGAGATTCGAACCTGAATCAAATATATACAAAAAAATGCATTAACCACATTATCACATGAGGTGTTATGTTTTAAATTTAGACATAAATATATATAATATATTATTATATAAATAATATATGTAATATATTGTTATATAAATAGATATATTATTTTTTTATTTCGAGCTAAAACGAGCCGAACATGAGCTACTTAACAAGTTGAACATGAGTAACGAGCTTTTTTGACAGCCTAGATACTCTTCATTGTTTAGGAAAGCCTATGTTTTATATATACATTTTTAGGGAACTTCTGACAGAAAACTTTTGGTCAAATAATAAATTTTTGTGAGTAGTACTTTCAAAGGGTGCCGGGATTTCAAAAGAGATTCCGTGTTAAAGCGCGCATTTGCCTGAAAAATAAAAATCAGAAACTTAGAAATAAAAACTGCCTCAAATACTATTTTTTGAAAAAAAAAAAAAATCTCACAACAAAAGTAACAAATTTTAAGGCTTCAAAAGTTTTTTTTTTTTTTAATGAAAGAATAAGAAATAAAAAATTCGTCTCAATAGGATATAAGTTGGATTTTTTTGAAAAAAATAATTTTTTTTAGTGTTTGTGTGTATTAATTTTTTATTCGTTCTAGTTCATCGTGAAAGATAAATAGAATCTTTCATATAAGGATATGGTTTTTTTTTTTTTTTTTATAGAAGGATATGATTTGATTAAATAATAATAATAGTTTTTCTTTGGCCAACCAAGTGTTTATTAAGAATCACTAATGCACTAACATATTTTCTCTTCTTTACGCCGTTGAGGGAGTCGACACTAGGTGGTTCAATCTATTACCGTCGAGAGTAATCAGATCATTTGTTGATTTCAAGCTAATTTGAGGCGCAACTTGGCGGTGCCTAGAAACTCCAAAAAAAACTTACGGGACCTCCTGCAGATCTGCAAGGGATTGAGCAACAGCCTTTGCTCGCTTATCACATGCTTGCAAAAGGAGATGTTGCATGTGCGAGACTAGGAGCCTGTAGTATCCCATGTCACCCTTGCTCTGGGGTTGAAGGAATGACTCCTAATACACCAATACGTATTGGATCAACAGTGGTCGAAGATATTAATAAGTTATTGGAACTGACCAACAACCACATATGTCGAGGAGAATAAGTCCAATCATGTTTCCTCCATAGTAGAATCATCGACTCGACGCACACAAAAGAGGGCACGCAAGGCGAAGGGTGGAGACCGAGACATGAGTTGCGTCCTTTCACCCAACCTCGCTACGAAGATGCTCGGCCACCCCAGGACCATAGGGTGATCGATAGAAAGCACCATTGAGGAAGTTAGGTTTCGTACCCTCACCACTGGCTTGCTTGATACAATGAGCGCCTACTGCCTAACCATGAAGCATCCAAGGCAACTCTTCTGAGAGTTTGATGATATAGTTGAGATTATTCAAAATAAGATTACTTCAAAAAAGCACCCATGATGAAGACCAATGCTTATCTTCGGGATTTGAAGAAGTACCGTGCTTACCATCGGGTGCATGACACGGTGGAATGCTGACACCTTTGATGCCTGATCGAAAAACTAATCAAGGCTGAGAAAGTTTTTTTTCTTTTTTTAATGAAAGAATGAGAAATAAAAAAATTTTCTCTCAATAGGATACAAGTAAGTTGGATTTTATTTGTGTGTGTGTGTGTGTGTGTGTGTGTGTGTGTGTGTGTGTGTGTGTGTGTGTGTGTGTGTGTGTGTGTGTGTGTGTGTGTGTGTGTGTGTGTGTGTGTGTGTGTGTGTGTGTATAGATATGGCACCCACCCAAATACCGATTTCCCATGCGCTAAGCCCCATGTTGACAACCCGCATTATGTGCCTAAATATTTGAGAACTCAGCGACACTGGGGATCGAACCCGTGACCTGAGGGGACTTACAGTGAACCCCGCCAAAATTATTTTTTCTTAATGAGAATTAGCTCACCAGTGGTGATTTTTAAAAAAAATAATAGATGAATCATATTTCAAATAAACAAGTTCCGTACAGTCCATATCTCTACTAGCAAGGACCACTCTGGGTTTCGATCGGCCCACCACTCTAATTGCCTCAAGGCGAGCAGTTTTGGCACAAGCAATCACACGAGCCTTCTTCTCTGCCCAAGCAACAAACACTGCCTCCCTCTCAGTTTCCTTGGCATCTAAAGCCTTCCAATCATCCTCATTCATCTGAATGAAAGTCTCCGGCTGTAGCACTTGGTTGACAATTTTTGGGTCAAGATATTGATAGACCGGAAGTTGACGTTCTTCAACATCCCTAACATTCACAAACACTCAAACACCTCTTTGTTAACTTCAATGGAGTAGTAGTAGACTGGACAGTCTGGATATACCATCCCCAAGAGGAAATATTTGACAAGGGGATCGGTCGCAACTTCAGCCAAGGCAAACTCCTACTAAAATAGTCTTTTATAGAAAACACCCCCAAACTTATTATTTCATCCGATCTGTCTCAGCTTAAGCCTAGACGGACTTCTGATAGTTCCTGGTGAAGAGTAACCATCTCCCCTCGATCCTCTCTACTATTTTTGCGCAAGCGACTCGTGCATCTCCTCACCTTATTGGATCTTAGCTGACTGAGCGAAAGAGTTCTCAATCTCGTCCAAGTGGTGAGCCAACAATCTGGGATATATCTGTCATCCGTCAGCTACTTCCCCGTGGGTCTTGAGAGAATTTCCTAGGAAGTCAACCCTATCACCCCCTCACTCACGAGTTGGATGCCCTGGACTGTTGCCTGGGCAGTCGCCGCTATTGCCGAGGCAACCACCGCTGGCGTCGTGCCGGGTTCTCACCCATATTTGCTAGAGGCTAGTCATCACCAAGGACTATTAAAATCTGGTCAACTACACCAAGAAACAACGTAAAAAAAGGTACCTTAGAAAAAATCGAAGTCTAACAAGTAAGATCGAGATTCCCCATAACATGGAGTCAATCCAACTCAGACGTAATCAACAAAGCAACCTCACCATACAAAGGCAGAACTTCAGCTACATCTTGCGTGGTCCGTTCAGTCGGTGGGTCTTGTGCCGCAGAAGAAGGTCGAACTGACGAATTGATGGCTTAGTTGATCGCCTGAGCATTCCTCTGCTTAGTGTCAAGGAACAAATCAACCGACCTCACCTGATTCGTCGGGGAAACTGCTTTTCTTTCTTAACAACGATTTTTTTTTCTTCCTTCCATCTTATGGGCGGAGCCCCTATTTCGGCCTCCCGAAGGCAGCACTAATTAGATCTTTGTTGAGGATACTAACCAGGGGATTGGACTTGTTTTCCATTATAATGTCTTATTTATAAGAACCAAATGCGCGGACATCAAAAGAATTTTGATTAATAATAAATGCCAACTATTTTTTGCATTAAATTATTTATTAGTATCACATCACATTCAAGAAATGAGAGAATCGCGAGACTAAAATATGTCCATAAAAAATGTGTCAGCATTAATCTTGAAATCTAACAGTATGAAAAAAAAGAGTGCAACGAATGAGACCACTAACACAAGGTTGTAAGGCCTTCTTGTCCGACCGAATAAAGTTGTTCGAGCCAAAGCTAATAAGATCAAAGATAACCCAAGGATACAAGAATGAGCCATTCAAACAAAAAAGAGGAAAAATAACATCTAAGTCAATCGTCACAAAAGAGTCGATCCAAGAAAGAATCTGCCCCCTAATTTCTCCAACCATCCCAGAGATGCCAAAAGTTGTCTCATCAGGGTTTAGGATCGACAATCGGTTCATCATAGCCGATTGACTCATATCAAGTAAGTTGAACCAACCGATTTTATCTTGACAACCCGAAGTAAATTAAACTTAATAAATCGTAGAGCATCCAAAGGATAAACTCATAAATGTCAAAATATCAGAAATATCAAATATGACCCCTTTTAAGTAAGGATAAAAATATAACAACATATTTTACCCTCCTCTAGAAATTATTTTATGAATATGACAATGATTGACACAACATGTTATTGTTTATTATTGCTCACTCTATCTATCCCTCTATTTTCTTACTTGCGCTCTATTGCTTATTTATGATTCACGGACAAATCACAATTCAACTCCACTAAATATTATTCAGGGCTCCAATCTAATCTAGCATTTCAAAGAGAATAGATTTTTTTACCAGTAAAATTTTTTCAATTAACAAAAAGAATCAATTACTATATAACAACCATCATAAAAATTTATAACCATATCATAAGATAAAAGAACTAAGAATTAGTGTAGAAAATATATTTTTTTAAAAGCTATTTATAAATCTGAGAAAAAAAGTTAATATTAAAACAAGCAAACAACAACCAAGTAAATGCCTATATATA